ACCATTTAAATTCATATTTATATATGTATTTATAATTATTCAATTCAATTGACTTAGAAATAATATTTATTTATATATATATATATATATATATATATATATATATATATATATATATATATAAATAAATATATACATAAATTATAAAAATAAAATAAAATAAATGTACAAATTTGTAATAAATTCAACCGCGAAATCGGTATTTTGAGGCACGCCATGTTGCTGTATGCGTATGAGAGAGCTGCTGGCTCTAGAGCCATCACGAAAACATTGCTGTATGCGTGAGAGTGCTGCTGGCTCTAGACTCTAGAGTCTAGACTCTAGACTCTAGAGTCTAGAGCCAGCACGAGAGAGCGGCTAGAGCCAGCACGAGAGAGCGGCTAGAGCCAGCACGAGAGAGCGGCTAGAGCCAGCACGAGAGAGCGGCTAGAGCCAGCACGAGAGAGCGGCTAGAGCCAGCACGAGAGAGCGGCTGGCTCTAGAGCGCTCTCTCGCTGGCTTTTGAACGAAGTGCGAGAGAGCCTGGAGCCAGTTCAAAAGCCAGCACGAAAAAATCGTGTGCAAAAAAATCGTATGGCGTTACTAATCTTATACTTATACAATCTTTGCCAACACCACACCAACACTAACACAAACACACATCGTTTAATTACAGAACAGGTGATGCACAGATTAGAGTCTCTTGGAAGATGCCAGGTTGTCCTTCGACGGGCTCGCCTCGTTTTTGTCGCGCGAACACTTTTTAGTGGCATTCCACGTATAATAAGAGGGCTTTTCTGAATACATCAAGGTTCTGGGAAAAGCATCTTCCTGGCATAAGGCGAAGAAGGCAGTCAGAGTTGTGGCAGGCGGATTCAGGACTCTTTCTTGCACATTTAGTTCTGTGAAATAGACACGTTGACCATTCTCCAAATGGACTGCCAAGTGAACTACAGCTGGATAGCGTTCATGAATTGGGAAAGAAAAAATTCGCCAAGCAGCCTCGTTGCTGCTTATGTATCTTCCAGTCTGGTATTGAGAGATTTCATCGACAACTCGTACTGCATTGCTGTCACCATTTTCTGCCTGAACACCAAAAACTGCCATATCGCTGCCTTTATTCACGTACTTGCAGATATATTTAATCGATTTCACGGAATTGCAATATTCTACGTTGATGTGCGCTTGGTATGATTTTGACAATAGGGGTGAGTATGGAACCACCCAACGATTGTCTACCTCAATATCACCAATTCTCATGTTTAAAGTTTCCGAAGTCCCGCCATCTTCAGTTGACCGTCTCCTATACAGAGGATATCCATCGTCTCCTGTTACCGTGTTGGCTGCAAATGCTCGAGGATATCGCTTGGAACACTTCCCGTCTACCATGCATGGTGAACTTGGGTTGAGGGTACCACATGGGCCATGGATCATGTTCTTGATGACAACTGCATGCAAATCCGTATCAACCTCTGCCCGTGGAATCTCAGCGCATATCACATCGTCAATTTCGTCTGGAGTAATTTTATCATACAGCCAAATCAGTATGTGCGCATGCGCCAATCCTCTCTTCTGCCATTCAACTGATTACACCCAGCACCACACAGATCCAAAAACTCCATGTTTCACAATTAAATCCATCAGTGACTTGAGCTTTTGTCTGAAAACACGGGCTGTGATGTCATGACTATCTCTAGACATGTCCAGGAAATATCAGCTGCACTATCTCGTCTCAAGCTGGATTGCAGGTGATAAATAAGTCTGAACGGGCGTAGCAACGAACATATGCCATGGTATCTTGAGCATATTGCTGCATGTGGAGTGGACTAACTATGTATGAGGATGGCAAAATCGTGAGGAGGACCTAAGACAATCATATATTAAAATGTCGTCAGTTGTTTCATCTGTACATTGTCGATATGTATGCAAAAATTGAAACAGAACGTTTGCTGTTGCTCCGATTGAATCAGACGAAACTTCGGTCCGAGGAATATATCCATTTGCGGGATGCTGTGATGAATGACCGTAATACAACCAACGTTGGAAAGCTCACGATTTTGCCATCAAGATGCCATGGCATATGTTCGTTGCTACGCCCGTTCAGACTTATTTATCACCTGCAATCCAGCTTGGGACGAGATAGTGCAGCTGATATTTCCTGGACAATCGTCTAGGGATAGGCATGACATCACAGCCCGTGTTTTAGACAAAAGCTCAAGTCACTGATGGATTTAATTGTGAAACATGGAGTTTTTGGATCTGTGCGGTGCTGGATGTAATCAGTAGAATGTATCCAGCTGTAGTTCATTTGGCAGTCCATTTGGAGAAGGGTCAACATGTCTATTTCACAGAACTAAATGTGCAAGAAAGAGTCCTGAATCCGCCTGCCACAACTCTGACTGCCTTCTTCGCCTTATGCCAGGAAGATGCTTTTCCCAGAACCTTGATGTATTCAGAAGTGCCCTCTTATTACACGTGGAATGCCACTAAAAGCGAGCCCGTCGAAGGACAACCTGGCATCTTCAAAGAGAATACAATCGGTAGACTCTATACAGTGCATCCTAATCAAGATGAATGTTTATTCCTTCGAATGCTGTTGGTGAATGTGGCCGGTCCCAGGTCTTTCCAGTATTTAAAAAATCTCAACGGTATCACGCATGCGTGCAACCACAATATGCCGCAGAGAAACGTGGCAGGGTACAGGTAGTTTAGTATATAAATTAAGGAATATTTAAAGATAATTTTTTCTGGTTTAAAATTGAACATTTTTATATTTTTCTTATTTGTTAACAGTTTTTTAAGCTCTGGATTTTAATGATACAACATTGATATTAACAGTTCTGATGTCAGTAAAAGTGAAGGCATAAAATCTTCCATCGTATTTATACGGTACGATTTTGGAGTATGACTTGAAGGATAGATGCGCATAACTTTCTTTTGCGCTTCAATCGCTCGGAGATCGTGCCGATTGGAACAGAAACATTCCTTATTATGTCTGCATCATGAATCAAAATTTTGTGAATTAAGGAAAGCATATAAATTTGACTTTCTGTTCTTCTTTGCGCAACTTAACTTTTTATTCTCCGCGAACCTGCCACTTTTTACATGGAAATGTATACGATATATGAATCTAAACATCTTATCCATTTATGGAGAGTTGATTGCCCAATTTGTATAAGATTTCTTTAGCTGGTTTTAATTCGATTTCTTTTAAAATGTTATTTGGCGAGGGAGTGGCACCAAATATTACACAGGCCTGCACAGAAGTTCCTGCAATCGAGCTGAGAATCTTCCCATCAATCATAGTAAAGTGAACTATTTTAAAATGTTGAAATGTTGTAGAAATTAAATTTTTCCCTTTGCTGTTCAATATGTATAACTTCGTTGAATCTGGTGATCAGGTTTGCAATCAGAGAGAGCGTTTGCTGGGCGCCCAGAGCTACTAGCGGCTATTTCAGTTAATACAATAGATATCGAGAACCATGTAGAGGACCAAGCGACCTTTGTGGTATAGGAACATATCGCAGAGGTAAACTTTCGTGGGTCATTCTCTCTATCGCTAAAGTATCGAAGATATTTTAAGCAGTTCAGATTTTTAGTCGTATAGTACGGTATGGAAAGGATAAAAAACGACTTTTAAGCATTAAGAGAGAGCAAGAGGCCAATATTTTTAAACAGCTGTTCGTCGCGCGAAAAATAAAAATTTTATAAAACAGGCTTTCTTAACCATTTGCCACTTGCTTTCACTTGCATCTCGTTTACATATTTCACATAAGAGATCCCGAAATGAAGAAACATTTGCGGAAAACATGGATTCAGACGTTCAGAACGGCTGATACAGTTATTATAATAACTTAGTAAAGGGAAATGCAATATTTTAGGTTTTTGGAAATTATACCAATTTGTAAGGAAGAAAATATAAATTAAAATAATGAAGGCCAGCAAGGACCATATGGGAAAATCGTCTTGCCGACTTGAGAGGGGGTCCCGACACAGATTGTTAAACGCCAGTTATTTGTCTGGTTAAAAAAGAAAAGATCGGTGACACTTCAAACGAATAAACTTTTTTCTGACAGCGAAACAGTTTCACACTACATCCCGTAATTATAGGGAATTCGTGTTAGATGTTAATGTACACAAATTTCAGTTGATGGTGCCTTCTTCAATTTTATATCACCTCGTTAATAAGACATCTGAAAAATCAAACAAATTGAAAAATGAAGATTGTTAAAAGCTCAAAATAAAAACGAACTAAATCAAAATAGTCCGTTTGTATTTTTATATTCTTGCCTTGTATTATAATTTTAGTCAGAGTTTGCAACGCAATGAAGGAGACATTTTCGACCATATGAAGCCTCTGGCTATGTCTGTTTTTGCCCAAGCTAGTCTCTTAATTTTGAAGCCATCTGAATGAAACGTTGCAGTTAGTTTTCTATAAACTCACACTCGTATATATTTCGTAAAAGGCCGGATCGGCCGACTTTATCATATAGCTGCCATAGAAACGATCGGAATTTTTTTTTTACAAAAATATTATAACTTTTTTTCCAGCAAATTTGAGATATAGCCATTTTAAATTATTATACAATTTTGCGTAAAATTTTATGAAAATCGGACTACTTTATCATGTAGCTGTCATATGAACAATCTGAAAATTAATCATATATAGCAATTTTATTTTATTCTAGAATTTTGGTTTTAATTTTCAGAATACCGGGATACTGGATTATGTAGCTGCCATACAAACAATCTATAGATTAAGAGAAAAATGCAAAGTTGTAACTGAAAAACTATTAAGTTTTTATGTTGCTAAATGTAATGGAAGTAGGAATTACATCATTTATATGTGTTAATTCCTAGTGATCGAACTTGCAAGGGTATACAAAGTTAGCTTCCTTTCGTATTTGTTTTTTACACCATAGAGATATGTAGTATTCGTCTGTCTGTGAGAATACGTTATTTTTCTTATACCTTATTTTTTGCATTTTATGACATAGATTACCGATCTGAATGTCCGATAACGATAAAAGGAAATTGTCTTCTCAAGTTAAAGCATTTATAAAAACCTCAAAATTTAAGTTTGGAAATCTTTGTCGAAATGGCTTCTGCAGGTTAGGAATATTTATAATTTTAGTTATTGTGCTGTTAAAATATTTTATTTCTTTGACTGTCAAACGCTTTTATTATACAACTAATTTTTAACAACCCGCGTGGCTTAATTTTGACACGTAACGTTTGCATATACATTATACATAGATATACATTCATACATACCTATGTACATTATAAATACATTCTTAAATGTTCGTGTTTGTACTTTTTAATTCTTGTTCTTATATTTCCTTATATATGATTCTATTAATTAAATAAAATCTCGTGAATAACATTATTTTATGTCATTTAGAAAGTTTGTTTTATGTACACAATACTTTTTAAATTATATGTTCATGTATAGCAAAAATTTTAATATAAACGTAATAATACTATACATCATTTGCAGGCAAAAAGGGCAAAAAGAACAAAGGTACAGTTATATCTTTACAATCCTTCCTCTCTAATGCTGACACACCTGTTGGAACTACACAAGTCTCAAAGAAATTGCGAAATTTGGATGGCGAAGACAGCGATGACGGTAGTAATACATTGCCATTAGTTTATCAGCTCCCTACTGCGCCTAGGGCAAATCGGATATTTGATGATAATTCCATTCCCCATAAACCCCCATTTATTGCGTATATTAATAATTTGCCATTTGATGCAAATGAAGACGACCTATATGAATTTTTTGGAAGTATTAATTTGATTTCATTGAGACTGCCACGTGAAGATGGTGAAAACGGTAGATCAAGGGGATTTGGCTATGTCGAGCTAGACAATAGAGATGATTTAATTTATGTACTGAGCTTACCGGATCCATCCATTAAAGGCCGTCGCATTCGCATTGAACTATCAAACGAAAACGATCAGCAAAATCGGCAGAAAAACAATCGACGTTTTGATGGCTTCGGAAGTAGTGGAGAAAACAGAGACTCTGGAAATTGGAGACGAGATAGTCAAAATAATGGTAGTAGTTTTGGCTATTCTAACTATGAACGAAGCTTTAATAGAGAAAGAAAGGTTTTACCGGAAAGAGATGAAACTAACACACCAGGCTCTTGGCGCACCTGCGCGAAACCACAATCAATTGATTCTTCTCCAACCCGAAGAGAAGATCTATTATCTGACAAATATCGCGAAAGTCGTGGAAGAAATGTAGAAAGATATTCACGAGAAGACAACTCAAAACTCGAAGAACGACCAAAATTAAATTTAAAACCACGGACTTTGCCACTACCACATGTGACGAAAACGGAACTTGAAAAATCTGTTGAGCATACAAAAATAGGTAAACAAAGCGGAAATTTCTCGTTAAATGTGTTTGGATCCGCAAAACCGGTTGATACAGCGGCAAGAGAATTGGAGATAACAGAACGATTAGCCCTCGCTCGAAAACAGGATACAAGCAGCTTAGAAGAGCTATGTGGAAAACTTACAGAAGTCGAAATGGATAAGAATGATAATGAAAGTTCAAACGAATCAGTTAGCTGGCGTCGCAATCAAGACAGTAGGGATGAAGACAAAGCCCATATAATTAATGGTAATTATTTCATTACTTCTATGATTAATTACGTTAAATTGTAATAATAATAATAAGTACAACGGTGTCGGTAAACGATTTAAGTTATAGCTTGATTTTTATGAAATGCAATAGTTTTTAATTTTAAAATGTACAGCACATTTATTTTTTGTATTATTTAATTTGTATTTATTAATTTGTTTTTGAATGACAATTTTCTGTACACCATTTGCATTTTCTGCACTACAGCGTCAATATATGTACATACTTTCGATAACTACACATCTAAAAACTTTCTGGTCAATTTTAACGACATAGTATCCAAAGAATCAGACAAACCCAGCAAAATACAATCGGTTTGTGGAATTGTGTGGGATCACCACTAAACATGAAAGAGGCGTTCTGCAAATTCACAAAAAGGGTTAATCGATCTGAGATACAAAAACAAATTTAATCATTCAGATCAATTTTACAAAAACATTTTATTTTAGTAAAAAACCTTCATCTTTAAAATGAATATTACCTTATTTAATTTGGAAAACTTTTGCGAACGCCTGACCACTTTTGAAATTCACGTTTGTTTTAACCAAAAAATTGAGTATTTTTAAAAAGATAAAATTGGCTCTAAAAGATTGCCGCTCGGTCCCAATGGCAGTTATATGACATATGTAGTTGTACAATCTGGCTCATTCATTTTAACTACGGTCGTATACTGTCTTTGTAATTTAATTTATGTTATTTGTACTATATAATTTTAACCATAGATGCTTCATCGTTGCTGAGATAGAGCATTGTGCAAACCATGATACAATTATAACATGAAAGGAAGCTAACTTCGGCTCGCCGAAGTTTATATAGCCTTGCAGATAGAACTTCGATGACACTATAAATTATATATATTTATGTTAAGAAACAATGAAGTATTTTCATTTGAAGTACAAGTACAATGAAGTATTCTTTCATTTCATTCACTTATACATATTATATTTGCAGTTTTACATTCACAGATTTGTATTTTTGCTCCACATCTAACGATCGTTTGTACGGCACCTATATGATATACTCGTCCGATTTTCATAAAATTGTACACAAAATTGAAGAATAATATGAAATAGCTTTATCTCAAATTTGATGAAAATCTTTTGAAAACTGAAAATGTTAAAATTTTTATTTTTTTAATTTCTCGATCGTTCCTATGGGATCTATATGATATAGTAGTTCGATTTTCATAAAATTTTACACAAAATTGTAGAATAATATGAATTAGGTGTATCTCTAATTTGATTAAATTCTGTTGAAAACTGAAAATGTTATAATTTTTTTTGTAAAAATTTTCCGATCATTCCTATGGCAGCTATATCATATAGTCGTCCGATCCGGCCCGTTCCGACATATATACGAGTGAGAATATATAGAAGACTACCTACAAAGTTTCAGTCAGATAGCTTCAAAACTGAGAGACTAGTTTGCGTAGAAACGGACAGACGGACATGGCTAGATCGACTCGGCTGTTGATCCTGATCAAGAATATATATACAGGGTGCGGCACGAAAACTTGCTGATTTGTTTTTGGCGCCAAGCGGCGGGGAGTGGTCGGGTAAGGGTGGGGAGTGTCTCATGTTTTAGGGGACTTCCTGAAGTTTCGTCTACTCCGCAGTCAGTCGACATCATGCATTGGACGAAAAAGCAGCGCGCATTTGCCTGCGAGGCTTACTTTTCCAACGGTCGTTCCGTTATTGCCACTCAACTCAACATTCATCCTGCAGGTCGCGTTTCTGACAGGCAAGTCGATTGTATCGTGGGTGAAAAAATTCAGCGAGAGCGGGAATGTGACAAAATCCCATCCAGCTCATCGGAGAATAACATTCGGCAAGCAATCGCAAAGATACACGTCGATATGCTTGAGAGAGTTCAGCTGAGCTTCGAAAATCGGGTATCTCAGTGCATTGAAAACGGAGGCCATCACTTGTCCGATGTAATCTTCAAAACTGTGTAATAAAAACTTCAGAAGGTGTGTTACAAGAATAAAAAAATTTGGAATGGTATGTCAACTACTTCTTTTTTTATAACCTTCTAAAATCAGCAAGTTTTCGTGCCGCACCCTGTACTTTATATAGTCGGAGGTGCCTCCTTCACTGCGTTGCAAACTTCTGACTGAAATTATAATACCCTGGAAGGGTGTAAAAAGTAGTTCCGGCGGAAAAATCTTGTACCTCTTTAATCATAGCAATAAGTGCGAGTGAGAGGGGCTCAACCTAGTTAGTGCGAGCGGGACAGCAATAGAATGTGTTGATTAGATGATGTATGGGGCTTTAAGTTTCCTTTTGTAATAACGAGTTAATTTTTAACCATTTTGTGTTGGAAATGTGGCGTTGTTTTTGTTTTTGGGTCACGAGTCTTTTGTATATTTTTGTCTTAAAATATCATTTTTTAATAGTTTGGCAAAATGTCATGCATAAGGGCTTATGTTAGAAAAAAATTTGCCGCACACAACCTTTCACTACGAAAAACGAAGACGCACTGAAGCAAAACCCGACCGCTTTGACTGCCGAAGGGACTACCTTCGTAATTGTATCGTGGTGCAAACGTATACGATAAATTGCGTCGTCGAAACGACGAAGCATGTCTTTGATCAAACTTTGTGGTAATGTTCTAAAGCTAGAAACACACGATGCAAACAATTTGCAGCAAGTTGTTTGCTCCAATCAAATTTGCGCGTATAAAAACGAGTTTTATTGCAGCAATATTTGTTGCTTGTCGTATACATTTTTTTACTGCTATCTTGGTTGCGTCAGTCGAAATAGCCATGCAAACGTTTGCGTGCAAAACAAACATTTATTGGAGCAAGAAATTTTCTTCCAATATTTGCATAGATGTAAACATTAGTGCAAATTTCTGCTGCAAATTATTTTCAACTTGCTGCAAATTGTTTGCATCGTGTGTTTCTAGCTTAAGTTTAAGGAGTTAGACCACCCTCAACGCATGAAAATTGGAGTTTTTAAAAAATGCATTTTGAAAAAAATTAATACACCTTTTTATTGATTGTAATATGAAAGTACATATGTTGAACTAAAAAAGTACTTTTTGGAAGAAAAAAATTTGCAAATGGCGGAGATAAAGCCAATCGAAAAAGGCACTTTTTTCGGGAATGGTCGTATGGTGTACATGCTGCACAGCACATTTTTTATCTGAAACCCAAAAACAAAATTTTTTTTATAAGCAATATACAGCTGTGTTCACTGAAATAGCAGTGCTTACGACCTGTACGTTTAGGATTTGAAAATACCGTTACAAACACTACTTTAATAAGAAGTTTTTTTATAAAGGCTAAGTGTATTTAATTATTAATAATATAATACTAATTTAGTTTGCGTAACTAAAACATTTTGGAAGATATAGCTAAAAACAAACAAAAAAGTATAAATTCTGCTGTTCATTGAAATAGCAGTCAAAGTAAAAAAACTAAAAATAAATGTTATAAATATCAAAATATCGTATGAATAACCAAATTCTACTAATATAAATTTAGGATATGATCTAATATCTTGTTGAAAAGCCTTTATTAGCTATTACACCCTTACACCTACGTGGCATGGAGTCCTCCAAGTCTTGAGGGGAATCTGGCACCATGCGTGCTCCACAGATTGCCGAAGCGACGTCTTAGAAGTCGGGGACTTCTTCGATAAGTATTTAACACCGGGTACTTGACCACCTTGCTGGAGTGTTTAGGATCATTATCCTGCTAAAATGTCCAAATTAATGGCAACTCTTCTTTAGAATACGACTGCAGGACTGTTTCTAATATTTGTACATATGCATGTTGGTCCATGATGCCATCGATCATATGTATTGGACCTACAACATTGTATAAAAAGCAGGCCCATACCATGATTTTAGGGCCAATAGTCTTCAGCGCCTGGCTGGGCCGATCCTCTGTATTTGGAGGTCGACGGACATATTGTCTTAATAGTTTTTTACCAAATATAACCAGTTTGGACTATCTTTCCAAAGGATATTACACCATTTGGATAGTGGCCTGTTCAATTGGCTTTTGGCGAACTCCAACATGGTTTTGCTATGCCTTTAACCAAGTAATTACACCTTCTTCTGTGGACTTCGCCCATTCAAATTTTTCTTAAAAAGTGGTCTTCATATGGTCACATATTTGATCCCTAAGCCATTATCCCCTTTTATATCCCTACAGGACTCAAAAGGATAAGCTTTGCTGAAGCGTACTATGCGTCGAACCTCTGTAATTGTAGTTTTGCAAAACTTCCCTTGTTTTTCGGGCTGCAATTCATCTATTATGGCATTAGAAACAATATGGGTAGAACATTTTTAAATTCTTGGAATTTCTTTATGCGATTTGCCTTACTTTTTAACCCGAATAACCTCTGCCCTTTCTCTCTTGAAACGGCGAGGTCCTCTACCCACAAAAATTATTTTTTTTGATTACTTTTTTTTTAATTACGTATGAAATAAATAACGATCTTAAAATCGCTTTTAAAAATAATACAAAAATTTCGACACTTTATGCCGAACAAAATCAAAAAATTCTATTTCAGTGAACAGCCAAAACTATTGGTTTATGTGAAAAATAACAAAATAAAACATAAGCATAGCAAATCGAACGGAACTTTTGCTTGTTTTTTTATAACAGTGTTCCATTTTACAAAAACAATGTGCAAAAAATCGACTAAACATGACGAATATAAAGAAACCCCGATTTATAGTTGATCTCCTGTCGCACTGCTATTTCAATGAACACAGCTGTAAGTATACCCACGTAGCCGTTTTTAGAAAAAAATTTTTAGACGAAATTTTGGTTTAAAAATTTATACCTTTTAAAAATAACAAGAAAGGAAGCTAACTTCGGCACGCCGAAGTTTATATACCCTTGCAGATAGAACTTCTATGACTTGGAATCCCAACAATATAAATTATATTTATTTGTGTTAAAAAACAATGAAGTAATACCTGCTTTCATTTCATTCACCTTTACATATTATATTTGCAGTTTTACAGTCACTGGTGTGCATTTTTAACCACATCTAACGATCGTTTTTATAGCACCTATATGATATAGTCGTCCGATTTTCATAAAATTTGACACAAAATTTAAGACTGATATAAAATGTCTATACCTCAAATTTGATGAAAATCTGTTGAAAACAGAAAATATTATAATTTTTAATTGTCTTAATTTCTCGATCGTTTTTGGGAGCTATATGATATAGTTGTCCGATTTTCATAAAATTTTATACAAAATTGTAGAGTATAGCAAAATGGCTATATCTCAAATTTGATCAAATTCTGTTGAAAACTGAAATTGTTATAGTTTTTTTGTAAAAATTATCCGATCATTCCAATGGCAGCTATATGATATAGTCGTCCGATCCGGCACGTTCCGACATATATACGAGTGAGAGTATATAGAAGGCTAACTGCAAAGTTTCATTCAGATAGCTTCAAAACTGAGAGACTAGTTTGCGTAGAAACGAACAGACGGACAGAAGGACAGACGGACATGGCTAGATCGACTCGGCTGTTGATCCTGATCAAGAATATATATACTTTATATAGTCGGAGGTGCCTCCTTCACAGCGTTGCAAACTTCTGACTGAAATTATAATACCCTGCAAGGGTATAAATATATTGAAAACATCCTGTGTCGTGCATTAGATACTAGGGCCTCCAATTAGAGGTGGTCCTGATCACTATCAGTACCAACCAGAGTCAGTAAGGAAATCTAGGATTGCCGAAACTTTCAGATGTTCCGGTGTTTCTTGGTATGTAGTTTGCTTGCAGTTTCTACATATTGTATTGTGTGGCAGTCCCATCTTCATTGCGTGCGATCCGATCGCCCAATGTCCCGTGGTGACTGCCGTGATCCTGCTGTGTTTGCTGTTCACCGGTTCGTTTTTTGTCGCACCTCGGCCAACATTTTTTGACCTGTGCTCGCTCTTACTAAGCCATTCTTTGTTCTTTGCTTGAAGTGGTCATGGATCCTTGTCTGGATCGCGTTTAGGGAGATCGGTTATTCGAAGTCTGTACTTTGCCCTGCCGAACCTACACGGGTTAGTTCGTCTGCCTTTTCGTTTCCCGGAATCTCGTTGTTTCCCGGTACCAAGGTTACTTGTACTTAATTTTTATCAGCAAGTTTATTAAGGGCCTTCTCGCATTCTGCCACTAGCCGCGAGTTTGTTTTCACGGCGGCTAGGGAATTGACAGCCGCATGGCTATCCAAGTAGATTCGAACTCTGTTGCCCCTGAGGTCCTGCCTTAAGGAAAGTTCGACTGCTTCCCTTATGGCTAGTAACTCAGCCTGAAAGACCGTCGCTGGGTTCGAGAGATTGAATGCCTTTTCAATCCCCCAATTCTCAGCTTAGATCTCAGTCCGCCGCAGCTCATCTTGGAGCCATTGGTGTAGAGGAAAACCTCGTTCTCTACTGCCATTTTGTCCTTGCTCCAGTCTTCCCTTGTTGGATATGTGGTCGAGAATGCGTTCCCGAAGCTCAACACCGCGATCATGTAGTCAGTCTTTTCGTTTGTAATTTTACGGTTGCTTACAAGAATCTTGCCGTGCCCAGTAATCGTATAAAAATCGTATCGAAAAAGTCCTATGTCATTCCATAAAGAATGTTATAGAGAAGTTGTGTAAAAATTTTGAAGAGAATTGGTCGAGCATTTTTGAGAAATCATGTACACCAAAAAACACAAAAGAAGATAAAAAGTATTCTAAGGTAACTTCTAATGACTTCAGTATCAACAAATAATGAGATATTTTAGGATTGTGGACCTTTAGGGTATTCATTAGAAATCCATGCACTATATCCACAGCAGTTGTGCTTTGTTTTATTTTAAGAAAAATTTAAAATAAATATGCACCATGGCTGATAAGCATATAATAAAAGTTGTACTTATAGTGGTAAGATACCGGTAACAATTTTTAGATATGGGGATCTCTCGCATATATGTAATTTTCTTTGCATTGCTTGCGATTACGGTTAACTGTAGACAGAAAAGCCAAGAGCGGAGCGGCATCGAAGATCAGTCGCTCGCTTCTGAGTAAAAAAAATAGCAAGATATCTACATTAGTCTACCGCAATTATAAGCATATTATACATAATAATAACTAAAAAAATCGTGTTAATTATTATACCCTTGCAGGCTATTATAAGTTCAGTCAGAAGTTTCCAACGAAGCATCCACAGCAGAGTCGATCTAGCCATGTCCGTCTGTAGGTGTGTCTGTTTCTACGCAAAATATGCTCTCAGTTTTAAAATTGAATGAAACTTAGCAGTTAGTCTTCTATATTCATCACTCGTATATAAGTCGCAATGGGCCAAATTAGATGATTATATCATATAGATATATAGATGCCATACGAACGATCGGAAAATTAGTCGATAAAAATTATAACTTTTCATTTTCCAACAAGATTTTAACAAATTTCCTTTTTGTATTATTTGTAAAACTGGTTTAAAAAATTTTTGAAAATCGAACTACTATATCACGAAACGAAGGAACGATCGAGAAATTAATACAAATAAAAATTATAACTTTTTCAGTTTTCAACATATATTCATTAAATTTGATATATAAATCGCTGGCTTATTCGGCGGCTATCGAGGCAGGTTTATTTTTCCTTTGAAAACAAAAAATTCTTTGAAAACAAATTGTTGGTTCTCTCTTAAGTGCGTTCAAAATTTTTAGCGAATCGGTGATGCCATACCCTTGTGATTAAGGTATAACCCTCGAGTGGCCCGGTTTCGCGGGAGAGGAAAAGAGAGAGGAATAGAAGAGAGGCAAGTTAAGCTCGTGAAGAATAAACGTTCACGCTGAGGGACAGACTTCTTATTCCAAGATGTTATCGCAAAACTCTTGAAATGTTCTTGGCGTTGGATACCCAATTTAATAACCTTACGCTATTAAATCAGACTCCTAGGCGCAAAAAAAGCTGATATTGGTGGGCAGTATATAGACGGACCCCAACTACCTGCAACGGGCTCTCAGCAGCAGCCTCCCTCGGCGCAGCCCTCGACCTCAGCATTAATTCCAAGAGTGCTGAGATCGATCGCTATAGAAGATTCGGTACCCGAATGTGCAGCGGGAGTGCCCGGACCGTCGCAAATATTGACCCCTCAAAGTCCCAAACATCGGAAGATGTTCTCGCCTTTATACAAGGTAAAACCAGAGCAGACCAATTAAAAATAAAGGTAAAAAAAATCAAATTTTTTTATGCTAGGGACATGTCTTTCAAAATAAATGTCCCTTATGAACTCCTTGAAGCTATTTGCCTTAAAATATTTGGCCAGAGTATATTGCTGTCAAGAATTTCGAAGCTAAGAAGAAGAAAAAGCAGTCTGAAGGAATAACTCTTCCTAAGGCCGATCAGACCACTGCGCCTTAACGTCTAACTCCGCCTCAAAGAACCAACTAACTATCTAACCATTTCCTATCATAATGCAAGAGGCTTACGTAGTAAGCTTCCTAAATTGTATTCTGATAGTCTTTCGTTTGCTTCTCAGATTATTGTGTTACAGCCGGATATTCTGAGCTCCGATGTTTTTCCAGCTCTGTGCACAGTATGGTCGGTCTATCCGGCGTGGGAGTGGAGTCCTCATAGCGGTTGACTCCTCACTCACGTCAGAATTATGAACTATGAAATATGAGGTATCTATCAATTTTTATTGAACACCATGAGATAGCTAAGAAAATCGGTCGATGTCAAAACGTTGCAAGTAATTTTCTTCGTAATAAAGCAGACTATGTAAAATATATGGATAAAAGAAAAAAAATTTTAACAAAGGCATCGGAACCACGACTTATCTTCCGAACTGTCTCAAATTCCCACCTTTCTGCTCGTAAAATTAAGAGAGAATACGGAGTAATTGTAAGTGTGGCCACGATAAAACGAGTTATTCTAAGCGCCAAAAACTTGAAGAGAATGAAAATGATGCTTGTTAGGAAGCACGACTTCGACTTGCCCGACAACACATGTCGTGGAACAAGTAGTAGAAACCCGTGGTCTTCTCTGACGAAGAGATGTTCAACCTTGATGGACCGGATGGATATAATTACTATTTCCACGATATTTCGAAGGGAAGAGTGTTTTCAAAGTCGTCGTCACGCCTGTGCAGGTGGAGTAATGTTATGGTAAGCCATATGTACAATAGTGTGCTCGAAAAGGGTGTGCCCCAGTTTTCTGAGACGTATGGTAGAATTCCATGAACTTACCAACACGACAATGCTCCGATCTATACCGCTCGGATTGTAAAGCAGTGGATTAAAGACCAAAATGTCAAATGGCCGCCTTACTCCCCTAACATAAACATTATGGAGAACATTTTGAAACTTTTGTCGACGAAAGTATACGAAGGGGGAAGACAATTTAGAGACTTTGGGGCTTTAATTGAAGCAGTTAAAAAAGCGTGGTAGACAATTTTACTAAATAATATTGGAAAAATTAAAAAGAAAGTAACATTTATTAAATAATGCTAAAACAGGGCCTTAAATTACCTAGTGAAAATAATACTTAAAAAAAATAAATTTTATAGTTTAGAGGTCAAAATTTGCTATTATACTAAATACGGATTTATTTATGCAAACAAATTTATTAAAATTAAATCGGAGTGCTTGTTATGATAGTCTCCTAATTTTCTGAAAATTAACCCGAATTTCTGAAATTTTAAGGAAGAGATAACAAGAAGAAAATAAAAATAATTTGAAAAACGCCAAGGTTTTATTTTTTTAATATTATTATTCGATTTTTGATATGTCTTATTTGATATAGTAGTCCGGTGTTCATAAAATAAAGGTCTAAAAATCTGGAATAATACAAAATGACTTTATCTTAATGCAAATAAAAATCTCCTGGAAACTGAAAAAGGGTATCATTTTCTTCTAAAAATGTTCCGATCAAGGGCATTAAAAAAACTGTCGCCACTAATGATATAAACTTTTCTTTCCAGATGAGCATCGTGAAGAACGAGTTACCAATAGTAAATGGAAGGAGTCTCAGACCCAAAGCGACAGGTAAATGTACAGTACTATTCAACCGAAGCTTTGGACAAAAATAAAACTTTTATGATTTTCGAACTCCCCAATATTCATCGCGCTTTTATAATCTTTCACCTTCCTTTCATTAACTTTTTATATATAACTTAGCCAAAAAGAAATTAAATATGTGTGTAATTAATTCGAATTTTAATTCTGCATCGGAAATTATATGACATTTGGCTTTAGAAGACCAGAAATTTAAAAAATAAATCTATATTTGTATATGACATTTATTTTTAACAAATCAAAGCTTAATAAACTTATAGCGCTTACTCAAAAAGCATTAGATGTAAAAAAGTATATGTATGTAAGATAATTTGATATTAACTCTGTTTTATTAAATAAGCTTATAGGTTAAAGAATTGATTATAATAGGCAAAAACTGTTCGACTGAATTTTTTACTTTTTAACTTTATTTTGACGGTTTATACTTCTTAGTGCTGAACCTTCTCGACCGACTCTTTAAGACACCACTCCATTCGCCTATTCTGCCATCTGGTGCCCATAACACCACCCTTCTTTCGGCCGTCCTGCTGTTCTAGATGCATCATCCTCCTCTGCACTTACCTCGTCATTTTCTTTGTAGTAATCATAAAATCAGCTCTTGTTGATGTTTGTAGTGGACCCTCAAATTCTGCTGCCCCCTTAAAATCGTATCGGCTGTTTTCGATGTATAAGTGGCCATGTGGCGATGAACTGCGTTCCTTTAATAGCTACTAGATAACCTAACTGGAAACCATGATGTCCCTTTCTTTTTTTTATAAAATTTTTTCTTAAAGGTGTCTTAAGCTTTTCCTATATGGAGCCTAGTTTCTTGCCAAGTTCATATGCGTTCGTCTTATAGGTTTAACAGCATCTCATCTTGTAGGACCTTCAAGAGCTCAGGATTGGCGTTATTTCTCTTTCTTTAGCAAAACATTACTTCGAAATGCGTATAACTAATCGATGCGAAGACATTTGTGTTTATAGTGTGCCGCACTTGTACTTATACCATTTTGCTGGTTCCGTTGCTAAAGTCAGCAAGAGTATGGAATTAATAACTTTGTTGACCCGTTCGTTTTAGCCATTGCCCCTTGGTACATCTGCTGAAATGCCGATTTGCTCAGCTTGTTGTTACTGCAAAATTCACTAAATGAATGTGGTGTAAAGGCAGCTCCTTTATCGCTGATCATTCTTTGAGGACTACCAAAATAAAATCGATGATTCCAAAACCTTATTAGGCGTTTTTCTACTTCGTTGGGAATATTCAGCTGTATTTAGAGAAAATATACTTATAATTTTTCGACGTCAAGTCCAACGAACCTAAATGGTTAATGTGAAACGTTGTGTAATAAGTTCAAAAAAGTTTAATTTATTTGTTAGTGCACTAGTGGCTATTTATTGATCCATTCTAGTCCGGGCTCATTTCATGAATGCCCTGCTTGACTTAAGAATCTATTGGCTTGGCTTACAATTCACATAGCTGCCCGAGCAGGCGGCGCGCGCAGCGGCCGCGCAAGAGAGATAGAGTGTTATGCTTACATGGTAACCGAAGGATCGGCCGCGCATGCAGACATGCCGGCTCAGCATTTAGGAATTTATAACAAAGAAAGACAATCAAATTTTCCATAATTTTCCGTTAAATTTTCGTGGAAGAAAAAACTGCCGTTCAATTTCTTACCGTAATTTTTTGATGTCCTATGTTTATATCAAGTTATCAGGACAACTCCTGAAAACTTTTATATTTCCATAAATTTGTTTGCTCATAATTCTCTTGTATTTATTTGTGAAAGAACTAAATTTGTCTCTCAATTTTTTATATAAATTTTTTTAAACACAAAGTTGCCCTTATAAGTTGATATCAAGTTAGCAGAACAAACCCAGAAATCCTTCACATTTCCAAAATCTCTTTTAGCTAGAATTTGCCGTTAATTATTCGTGAAAGAAATAAATTTGGTTCTCCATTTTTATACCTTAGCTGGCCGATATTTTCAAGGCCGTACGATTAACTTTTCTGCAATGGATTATTTTTGTATTCTTGAATCGCATAAGCACCAATATCGATTAAACACGAAACGCAGTTGTTGATGATTGTAACAGTTCAATCAGTGCTTTATTGGAATTGATACTCCATCAAAATCAGGCACTACTTTTGAGAAACTCTAGCTGCCAGCAGTTAAAGCACTTCGCACCGTTGTTGTTGCCGTTCTTCACGGCCGGATGTTGATTTCAGCATGTGATGAAATTGAGATTTTGGACCCTTGCCATTTCTAAAATTGACCTCTAAATTTAACCTCTTCCACGCCTCAATCTTCCTTTTTATTTTGGCTTTCTATCTCGTTCGGCGGCAAGAAAGAGACTGAAAATTTAATACCCTGCAAGGATATTAATATATTTAAAGGAAAATGGTCAGCCTATCGGTCTATCGGAATATTTCTTTCCCCCGAAAATTAAAAACATGATAATATCAAAATAATACAGTGAAGCGTTATTACAAAAATTCGAAGTTTTTCTATTTTGGTTCACTGTATTTTTTTTTACAATTATTATTTTAACACTTTTATCTTGAAGCTCATCATCGTCCATTTCTGCTGTGAAAATTTATGTGGGTAACTGAAAGCACGACGTGCGGAATTTATATCATTTGAGATGTAAAATACACCAACTTTAGGTCGATCAACTTTCAGTGACATCTGCTTCGAAAATATGCATTGAATAGGCCTTTATCATCTTGATTATAAGCTTCTCATTTTTGTTCTTTGCGTTTATAGCCTGCGGGCAAAACGAATTCAAATAAACAAATCCAGCAATGACACTTCTACAGTGTGGATTGTAAGAAAGGCCCAACTTGTAGGCGTGCTTGCCTATTGGCCAGTGGCTACCGTTATCTTCTGATGGTTTTCTTACTTTTGGCGATCAGCTCGGCAGTCCGTCTCTTTTTTAATTTGGCCAGCATAGTTTCTTGACTACTCCTTGCGGGATAGTATTTGAAATGATCGTAAATTTCCGTCTGTACTGAGTTCAGAGAGTCAAGAGTGTCTGTATTTTCCTTTCCTTTCACCCTCTCCTTGCCAGCTTCAGCTTTCTCGTTTCATGGGATGTCGTCCGATTACCCAAGCTATCCGAGACCTGTTTTCCTCTGCTGGTCCATTTAGGGCCTCTTTGCAGTTGGCCGCTAGTGTTGATGTAGTGCTTACCGTTGCGATATATTTGATGTCCGCAAGGCTATAAGAGAACCTTGGTATTTCGAAGGTGTCGATTTGATGAGAGTTCAACATGTTTCAGTATTGGCAGAACCTCCACCTGGAAAAGTGGAAGGACTCTCCAGTTCTGACGAAAGATTTCGGCCCACACCCGCAGCTCATCCTCGAGCCTTTGGTGTAAAGTCATCTGGCTTGGGTGCACTCTCTCTTCTCCATTCTTGACTTGTTGGGTGCATCGTGGTATATGTATTGCCGAATCGCAATCGGGTGTCATACAGTCAGTGTTGCTGATGAAATGTTCTATTGGGATTATATATAGAATGACATTCAATGCTACCCCGGACCATAATCTTAGTGCACCAGTGGCACATCCGCAAGCCGATTTCTGAATCTTTGTAAGTTTATTGGTATTCTATGCCTTAGTCAATGCCAACCACCATACTAGTGCTACTACTTTGTAGAGCCGAGCCATGTATTGTCTTTAGTTGGATGCCCCAGTTTTTTCAGACATCTTCCTACAGGAGTTGAAGAATATGTTTGATTTATTGACTCTTTCGTTGTTGTTTTTTTTACATGACAGCTTCGCATCTAGTACCACTCTCAAATACTTTGCTTCTTGCGATAGTTGTAGTTCTATACCTTCTGAGAATTTTTCTATTGGAGATCTTTGTTCTTCTTCTTGTGAAGAGCATAAGCTCCATTATATCTGAGTTAATGCCCAATCCGCAGGCTTGGCCCATGATTTGTGTTTAGTGAGCACCCTTGTAATTTGTTCAGCTATCGTTAGCATGCTCCGACCCAGTAGTATATTTAGTATCCGCGTGCAGACTAAGCGGCCTGTAATCTTGGGTATGACAACTACTCTTGTTTCTTTTCACGCAAATGGTATGTGTGGTATATACATGTTTGGAAGTTAGTTTGTAACCTAAACATGCATGTTTTGTTGTCTGTAGCATTGCTGGTATAATTTGCCCAGACCCTGATTTTGTACTTGTATTCCTTCTGTCGGTCCTTGTACGTAGTATTAAAGGCCTTCCAAACATTTTTTCTCAGTTCGCTTATTAGCTCTTTGCTTCATCATTGTGGGTGTGTATTCTCCGATTAAGTAAGTTATTGTTGCGGGGGTTGAGTTTTGGTGCTGTCCCTTGTGTCGGCATCGAGATTTCAAAGAACACATTCCTATGGTCTGAAAAAAAGTGTTGTATCGAGACCCTCCATTTCCCTACCTTATAATCGCTGTGGTTCATTTTGAATTATTGAATTGAATTATGTCTAAGACCTCTGGAAAAATTACCAACATGGAAAATTAAGGTAGGCAAAAATAAAAATTAAATAAACAAGATGGGAAGATAACTATGGCTTACAAGGATTTGTTGTTGGATTATCCATAATCGATCTATTATACTCAAATAATATTTGTATTTTAAAGAAACTCCAATCTGTTTAAAATCGTATAAAATAAATATCCCATATTTATTTATTTATATAAAGCTAGCGGTTGGTTGTAAACTAAAGGCTAACTTAGGATAATGAGCATTGGCTGATGTGGCCTACCGCTCGGTCCCATATAATATATTGTGTTCATATCTTTGTTGAAAAATTACAATTTAACGCCAACTTTTATTAAATACCGATACATACAATATTTACAGTTTTTATTGTGCTGAAAGGCCCAAAATATAGCTATTTATTAACTTTTTCATGGTGCAAGGATTGACTTCGAAAGTTTTAAATTTAAAGTAATTTAGCAATTAAATGTTTCGCACAGGCGCGAAACGGAAGCGATTTTGAAGTCGATCAGTTCACCCGCCAATTTCTGCGAATCTAGAGGAAATGTTTTAGTAAAACTAATTTTAAAATTTCTTGCACTGATGACTTAAAGCTTG